GGCAATCAAGAAGCGCTGTATTTGTCTCAACTTTTATCGCATTTTATTGGTTTTTCGGCACTGCTCACAAAATCGACCATGTCATATACGGACAAGAAGAAAAATGCGCGCTGTAAATGAACCCTTAAAAATGTGTACCGGGCTGATCACGCGGTCTGGGACCGACGTGCCACTATATCTTCCCAATGGTGACCTATTGTTATAGAGGATTCAACCAATTAAAACATCACTGATCGCGTCATCTACACCTAACCCCCAAAGCGCAACGTCTTGTGGAGGGTCCAGAGTAGGCAATTAGGCGATCCTCGATGGAGCGGAGCAACAAATCAATACGTATCCTTCTCTTATCGCCTACTCGCCTAATCGCCTAATCGATACGTATACTTTTCTTTTTGAATCATCGCCTAATCGCCTAATCGCCTAATCGCACGTACGATCGCCAACTATGAACGCTCCATTAGAAGCTCCATGATTACAAGATCGACACTCATTTTCGGAATGTGTTTTGCCCATGAAACTTGCTCTATATGCGTATGTTTTTTTGCTTCAGGTATGGCGACATGGCGATCGATCCCCTACGAAAACCTTCCCGACCGATCCGTTCCAGGATGGCAATTGGACATTCGGAGGCGGAGGTTTCGGACAACTTTCACCTGTAAGATTCATTTCACCATTCATTTTGTATAATGCAAATCTACACAGTTCACAACTTTTAGGTCTTAAATTTGCTTCATTGTGTTTGTTTTTGAGTGTGATCCACTAGTTCTGGCATAATGGCATAACGAATTGATTTTTTGAGACCTGTGATTAATGGTAGGAACCTACCTTTTCGCTAAGGCACACCCCACCATCAATTCAGGTGGACCAATCTTTTCGATAGGTAGGATAGAGCTGTCCACGGATGTAAATATGCCGTTCTTGCTACACAAATGGGTGACATTGAAGCTGAGGACTTCCAAATACTGCCTTAATTGCTTTGCATGCCTATTTGTGGCAGTCTACGCCCTCCTCCTTGTATCTCTTTCCCCATTTAGCAAATAATTTTACCGCTAACACATCGGTTTTCCGATTAGTTAATGCCTCGAGGCATTTTTAGTCTCTCAGACAAGAAAGAAAAGAAAAAAGAGAGAGGGAGAAAAAAAAGAAATCTTTCAGACACTCACAAGCAATCGTCAGACATCGGATTGCCTCTTTTATTTTCGATTTAATTTAGATTGGAATGAAGCAGCACATGAAGTTTGGAGAATTCCTTCGGAAAACATACGTTGACGACTTGAAATTCCTTGGCAACAGATATTCGTCGAAAGAGGTTTGCCATGTCTCACGTTCAAAACCCAATGTTAACAGGCAGCTAGCATTACCATACTCCTAAATTTGTCATCTGCGGAAGTGGCCAAAAAACAGGCACTTTGCCCATTGCACACATTCATCATCAACGTCTGGTAAAGGACTAGTTAAGCCTGAAAAGACACGCATGCGCCTATTGTTCGAGGACTGAAATTAGAGTCGGTCTGGAGTAATCCCGGTTGGACGAACTGCCAGGATGGGTTTTAGTGAGAGAAATGAGTTCCCTGCAGTCTGAACTTCGGCCATGTATCTTCCCATTCAAACAGCGGGTACCCCCCCAGGTAGGCCCGTCGCACGGGCAATGAGGCAAGAGGTCAGCGCGAGTCGCACGCGTTACTATGGGATTAGCTCAAGTTAATAGTGTAGGTCTCCACTGCACTCCTACATTCGCGCACACCACGCGCATTTGCAATCGTCGACGACTCTGCTTCGTGCCCGCATGCCACGGGCTCCTGGGGAGGGACCCAAAGAGCCAGAAAGTTGTCGTGGCGGGGGAGGCCATTAGCCAGGCACAAGGCTGGACGACGGGCCCCCAAAAAATTCATGTTTTTATAGACAATTGAACAATTTTAAACCGGTTGTACTGGTGATTGCGAGTGCAATTTGGACAACTAATATTACATCTATCATTTACTAAGAAATCAGCTATCACTATGAACACTTCTAACCTAGATTTGTTGGAGGCCGTCGTCAGTTGTGGTGTTTTGTCTGCACCTCGACACTTTCTGGCTTTTTGAAGAGAGGTACAGGCGCTGCGCAAAAACAACCGAACTTGAACAAAATACACAAAACAACAAACAACAAACAAACACCAGAAAATTCTGGCAATTGGATGACTTACTGTAATGTATTTTCTCAGTTCCAACTCTAGAGAATAATTGCAGATTCTATGTTCGCTCGACAGACAAAAATCGAACGATAATATCAGCTATGTCAAATATCTCGGTATGTACGGTCAGCAAGACAACAATGCCATTGCTGATCTGGATTATCCATCTGATGACGGATGGCCGAAAGGATTTGTTCCGGTAGCCATTCACACGTTGACGACGACACTGACTACGTGAGCTTTCAACTGGCTGTGTGACTTATGAATATGGATCTGAAACGACGGTATTTTAGATGTTAAATCCAGACGCTCCTTGCCATCGTCAGACATGGCTATGGAACATGGCCAAAACCTCCCCAGAACTTCAGGAATTTCAAACACGGCCGGATGTCAGTGAAAATTTTGAAAATCCATACCGGTTTCCTTTTTCACAGGGTATACAAAGAATTTGCAGAATCTCCCTGCCATTAGCAGACTTAATTGATTAAGAAGTTTTTAGGTCGCTGATCTGCTTGCGAATTTGACCAGACTCTGTGGTGAACCAATCGACATCGATAATTTAAATGTAGTAAGAGACGCTCTGTTCATCGAGGTGAGTTAGGTCTTCAAAGTTTGACTATATGAAGAGCTAAAGATGAGTGTGGAATTCCAGCAAGTACATGCTAACGACACCTTAAGGAAGGTGAACACGTGGTTCAGCGACGATCTGTATAATAAAATGACCACTGTAAATGACCAAGTGCAAATCTATCAAAATGGCATATTTGGTGAGTTACATTAACCTATACGTAATCAACGTTATCAATAAGAACATAAGACTTTTGTCAACGCTACCAAAGCAGGAACCTAAAGGCAGCGGTCGCGCTAGCTAAGAGGCGGAGCTTGACACGTCGTCGGTGCACGCGCATTGCTATTGGTAAGAAAGCGTCTGGAGGCAGTGGTTGGACCGCCTTTTGACACGTGGGAGACGGTCAAGAGTCCCCCTCGACCGCCGCGCTAAAACTAGGTCACCGCGCGCGACGTCGCCGGCGTTTTTGCAGTTTGAAACATGGCAATTGGCCAAGTTTAGGACCCGCCTCTCTGGACGATCGATACAACACTTTTTTGTTCGTCTGTGTAGTCCCCATTTCTGCATTTGTTTTGCTTAGTCCTAGCAAATTGCCACGTTCCAACTTGTAAGGACCGGTAGCCGCCGCGTGCGGTGACCTACTTTCGCTTGCGCGGCGACCTCAGGGGGACTCTTGTCTCGCATCCTTGACAGTTGCCACTTGACGGTGTTCTTCCGCCGATGAAGTGTCCAACTCGTTCCCGAGCCAACTCTGCCTTGATGAAGGATTCCCACTATAAGGTTGGGGTCGAAGAAGGGAAACCAACATAGTGGGAATGCAGACGGACCCCTTAAGATTGCGGACCGACACGGAATCTGCAGCGGAAGGATACACTCACGGCGATCATGGCCGTCCCGCGCCGCTATCGCCGCGGCACGCCCCTCTCGCCGTCTGAGCCTCTAGCCGTTTAGCAGAGAGAGCGTTAGCGTTGAAGAGGGCAGCACCGATGAGAGTCGCATCAATGCGGAAATCAACGGGCAAAGAAGGGTCCATTTCTTGGTTTCCGTTTCTCATGTTTTTTCTTCTTCCCTGCACCACTGACCACCTCTACCGTGATTTGCAATGGGATGCCTTTTTATCGTTAACACCGCCTTGGAATACTTTGGAAACCGTGCAGCCCGCAGAATGTCGGTCGTTCTGGACTTTGTAGGCTATATTTTGGCAAGAGGTACTACTTCTCCTTTTTTTACCATTTCATTCAAAAAGTGGGCTCTAAACCATGCGAACAGCCATACCTTCCAATTTGATCGAGCTTTCTAAACTTTTTCTGATTGCTACGTGGTCACCAAGCCTAAGGCCGATGTCAGACTTTGCGAATCGCGCGATTCGCTTCGCTAGCGTCCGCGGTCGCGTTGCGGTACCAGCCAATTGAGTGATTCACTGGCCGCGACGCGACCGCAGACGCTAGCGAATCGCGCGATTCGCAAAGTCTGACATCGGCCTAA